AAAGAAAGAAAAGAGAAAGCGCACGTTTGTAATATGTTTAATTTCACAATGCTAGCGTGTGTTGCTTTTACGTCCAACAGATGGCGCTGTTTTTCAAAAAAAGCATGTTTTTACCTGTCACAGGTGTGACATCTATATAATAGTAGGTATATAAAAACACGCGCATATTCAAATGCAACGTTGTGTCAAATTTTCAAAGAAATCGGTGAAGAACTTGCGGAGATTTAAGATTTTGAACAAACGAACATTTACATTTTTATTTAGATAGATAATAATACACTGTGAAAAATATCATTCAAGAGAGATGTTTTGAAATAGTATTGAAATAACTAAATACCCTTAAGAGAAAATCTTTCAGGCCCAGGAGTTCCACAAATGTCCTTAACTGAGAATGCCTCATACTGAAATTCCCCCAATCACATCCTAGTAGTAGCAGATTGTTGTACGGGATATTTGAAGATGATTAAAATGAACACTTTCAAGGTTAAAACATGTTCTTATTTTGAACTGTGCAGATCCAATGACTTCTCCATTTCTACCGTGTTAGTTACACTTACCAAACTAACTTAAACAAAATATTCCCTTTGGTGTAATCAGGTGTGCTATAGCAGGGCTTTTCAACCTTTTCACCCATTGTACCACTTTTAGGATATGGCAACATCCAAGTACCACCAGTCGCCTAGCAAGATGTCAAAAACTTGATGACCAAAAAAAAAAAAAAAGGAAAAAAGTGATAACGTACAGGTAGTCCTCAACTTACAACAGTTCGCTTAGTGACTGTTCGAAGTTACAATGGCACTGAAAAAAGTGCCCCCCAAGCCACAGCCGAGCAAGACACCTGCCTGCCCGCCCGGTGGCGCTCTTCCTCCTATCCGAGGTTTCCATTGTTGTGAGCATTTCTGTTGAGGATTGGCAGCGGGGGTGGAGTGGGGTTTTTTTTTTTTTTTTATTCCCCCCGTCTGCTGGGTGGTTGCAGCAGGTTTTGGTCACTTCACAAGACCCTGGGACACTGTGACCGTCATAAATATGAATCAGTTGCCAAGCATCTGAATGTAATTCATAAGACCCTGGAGAGGCTGCAACATTCCAGCTGATCGGCGCTTCTTCTGGGCTCAGCAGAAGCGCCAGGATCAGCGTTGAGCTCCAGCTAGACCCTGGCGCTGATCCTGGCGCTTCCACTGAGCCCCGACAGCCCTGCAGCTCCAGCCGTCTCTCGCTCAGGCTTGTGCGGTGCTGCCACCGGTTCAGCTCATTCCCCTCCCCCGCTACCACTTTTCTAGGATGGTCGCGTATCACCTGCCAGGTGCCAAGGTACCACAGGTGGTACCCGTACCACTGGTTGAAAAGCCCTGTCTATAGTTACCAGTTTAGTCAAAGTGAAATCCTTAATTAATTTTTCCTTACTATAGTTTGCAGCCTTTTGTTTCATTTAACACACTTTTTTTTTCTTTTCAATGCAGGTAGCTTCATTAGCTCCCCGGCTGCTAAAGATAAGAACTCTTGAGCAAGGTGATATTTTTGTGAGTATTAAAAATGTACAAACTGGTTGAACTAGAAAACATATACATATTTTTTTAAAATGCTGCAGATGTATTAAAAAATCCCATTTTTAAAAAAGAATTATATTACATGCATATAGTTAGAAATTAGCATCCAGCTCCAAAAAGTTGTTATAAAAAAATAAAAATTTGAGTAGGGCTTCTGCTGTCCTCAAACTTTTTCTACAGAGGATCTAACTACATGGAGCTGGTTAGAAATAACACTTGGCTGCTTTTTTTTTTGGCTTTCCTAAAGGCAAGAGAGATTGTTTTTTATGCCGGGTTTGATAGTTGAGGGTGACCAGCCTATTTAACTATGCTAAAGCTGACTTTGAGGAGTTGGTTGGTTGGGATATATGATGTACCCTGATTATAACTTTCTGAGTGGATCATGTAGTCCAGGGCATTTCAACCAGTGGTACGGGTACCACCTGTGGTACATTGGCACCTGGCAGGTGGTACGCGACCATCCTAGAAAAGTGGTAGCGGGGGAGGGGAATGAGCTGAACCGGTGGCAGCACCGCACAAGCCTGAGCGAGAGATGGCTGCAGCTGCAGGGCTGTCAGGGCTCAGCGGAAGCGCCAGGATCAGCGCCAGGCTCCAGCTGGATCTCGGCGCTGATCCTGGCGCTTCTGCTGAGCCCAGAAGAAGCGCCGATCAGCTGGAATGTTGCAGCCTCTCCAGGGTCTTATGAATTACATTCAGATGCTTGGCAACTGATTCATATTTATGACGGTCACAGTGTCCCAGGTTCATGTGAAGTGACCAAAACCTGCTGCAATCACCCAGCAGACGGGGGGAATAAAAACCAAACACCCCCACCCCACCCCCGCTGCCAATCCTCAACAGAAATGCTCACAACAGTGGAAACCTCAGACAGTAGGAAGAGCGCCGCTGTGTGGCAGGAAGGTGTCTTGCTCGGCTGTGGCTTGGGGGGCACTTTTTTCAGTGCCATTGTAACTTCGAACAGTCACTAAGCGAACTGTTGTAAGTCGAGGACTACCTGTACTTTATCACTTTTTTCCTTTTTTTTTTTTTTTTTGGTCATCAAGGTTTTGACACCTTGCTAGGCGACTGGTGGTACTTGGATGTTGCCATATCCTAAAAGTGGTACAATGAGTGAAAAGGTTGAAAAGCCCTGATGTAGTATTTTAAAAGAGCTGCGGTGGCACAGTGGTTAGAATGCAGTACTACAGGCTACTTCTGCTGACTGCCGACTCTCACATATATATTTATATTTGTTGATGCTTTATTGAAACTAAATTTGTATATCAGTGATTACATGGTTGATGCCATACACTAAATAAATGAAAAAAATCTTTCAACTGCAACTTATTTTTAAAATACCTTTTAACAGTGCTTTTTTTGTTAAAAAAAAAAAAAAAAAAGGTGCCGGAACTCACACACGTCATACAACCCGCCTTGCCTACCTTACAAGGTTCCATCCCAAAAAGGTGCCGGAACTCCGTTCTGGGCGTTCTATGACAAAAAAAAGCCCTGCCTATTAAACCAGAAAAAGTAAAATAAAGGATTCCTGTTTTTTTGGGTAACTGGATGGTATTCTGAAGTAGAAAGAATGAAATTCAGAGCTGGCTGGCACAACGCTGCCCGAAGTCACTTTGCCTTGAGATGGGCAGCATGTAGATTTAATAAATAAATAAAGTAAAATAAATAAATAAATCTTTAAAAATGGAAACAATATTGTTAGCATTAACTCATTCATTTTCTTAAACCATTTATCATTATTACAGGGACTGGCCAATTTAATGGACAAGTCATGTCTTCTTCAACTCAGTTTGGTAAGTCATTCTTTTAGAATAAAAGAAAATACGTCTATCTTACTTTAAAAATAATGTTAAGACTGAAGATCAGCCTTCATTGTCAATTCAGAAACCAATATTCTTTGCGAGAAATGAGAGCATATCAATAAACTGAACCTTTAAAAAAGCAAAGGTGCTTTTTCAAAAGGCAACTGGACTGAAGAAGCTTCTTGGATGAGAAGCGAAATGTCTTCAAAGAAAAACAAAGTCCAGTTGCCTTTTGGAAAAGCACCTTTAGGACAACCGTGACCTGGATGACTGAGAATCTCCATAGATTGTTAAAAGGCTCTGGGTTCTGTTCTGGGCCCAGTGCTTTTCAACATCTTCATCAACGATTTGGATGAGGGGATAGATGGGGAATCATCAAATTTGCAGATGACACCAAGCTGTCAAGAATAGCCAACACTCCAGAAGATAGGCTTAAGATACAGGAGGATCTGGACAGACTTGAACACTGGGCGCTATGTAACCAAATGAAATTCAATGGTGAAAAAAGTAAGGTTCTACATTTAGGCAAGAAAAACCAAATGTACAGGTATAGTATAGGCCCAGGGGTACCTTGCTCAATAGTAGCAACTGTGAGAGGGAACTCGGAGTCCTAGTGGACAATCACTAAAATATGAGCCAGCAGTGTGTTGCAGCTGACAAAAAAGCCAACACAGTGCTAGGCTGCATTAGCAGAGGGATAGAATCAAGATCACGTGAAATATTAATACCACTTTACAATGCCTTGGTAAGGCCACACTTGGAATACTGCATCCAGTTTTGGTCACCACGATGTAAAAAAAATGTTGAGACTCTAGAAAGAGTACAGAGAAGAGCAACAAAGATGATTAGGGGACTGGAGGCTAAAACATATAAGGAACGGTTGCTGGAATTGGGTATGTCTAGTTTAACAAAGAGAAGGGCGAGGGGGGGACATGATAGCAGTATCTCAGGGGCTGCCACAAAGAAGAGGGAGTCAAGCTATTCTCCAAAGCACCTGAAGGCAGGACAAGAAGCAACAGATGGAAACTAATCAAGGAGAGAAGCAACCTAGAACTAAGGAGAAACTTCCTGACAGTTAGAACAATTAACCAGTGGAACAACCTGCCTCCAGAAGCAGTGAATGCTCCAACACTGGAAGTTTTTAAGAAGAGACTGGACAGCCATTTGTCCGAAATGGTATAGGATTTCCTGCCTGAGCAGGGGGTTGGACTAGATGACCTCCAAGGTCCCTTCCAACTTTATTGTTGTTGTTGTTGTTGTTGTTGTTGTTGTTATTATTCTATTTCTACAGGTGGAATATCATGAAAAAAGATGAAATATTTCCCCCCTCATTTCAGTTTCCCTCCTCCAGTACTGTATTTGGCTGGTGTCTTTAATAGTTCCCCAGGACCACTTACATGTATCTTAATGTTTTCAGTAAATGATAAAAATATCTAGCACTGTAATTGTCCTTAAAATTGTCAAACTTTTGGTAAAGGTTGGGAAACATTTTACCAATGAGTTGAGTAGCAAGGCCATCTCAATAAAGCTCATAATAAATTAAATTAGCCAAAGACATTTGTGCCATTGCAGCTACATGTGGTATTGCCTAATGGTGATTATCTCAGTTGGCCTCAGGAGAGTGGAGTGGATGTGGAGTGATCTGTATAAAAAGAAAAACAGTAAGAGACTATTTAATGGCAATGCTCTCTTGCTTGGTTCCTTCAGCTACCTAAAACATTCCCTATCTTTTGTAGCTTTGCAGCTGCCAAAAATGCCAACCCAGTTCTAGGCTGCATTAACAGAGGAATAGAATCAAGATCATGTGAAGTGTTAGTACCACTTTATAATGCCTTGCTAAGGTCTCATTTGAAATATTGCATCCAGTTTTGGTTGACAGCATACAAAAAAGATGCTGAGACTCTAGAAAGAGTGCAGAGAAGAACAACTATGATTAGGGGACTGGAGGCTAAAACATATGAAGAACAGTTGCTGGAATTGGGTATGAAGGACTAGGGGTGACATAATATCAGTCTTCCAATATCTAAGGGGCTGCCACAAAGAAGAAGGGGGTCAACCTATTCTCCAAAGATCTGAAGGCAGGACAAGAAGCAACGGATGGAAACTAACTTGTCAAATTTACGATGCGTGGCCGGACCTCAACTCCCAGGATTCCCCAGTCATCCAAATTAAAATTGACAAGTTTGAAAAACACAGCTTTAGATGGAAAAGGCAATTAACAGAAGGATAGAATCAAGATCACATGAAGTGTTAATACCACTTTACAATGCCTTGGTAAGGCCACACTTGGAATACTGCATCCAGTTTTGGTCACCACGATGTAAAAAAGATGTTGAGACTCTAGAAAGAGTACAGAGAAGAGCAACAAAGATGATTAGGGGACTGGAGGCTAAAACATATAAGGAACGGTTGCTGGAACTGGGTATGTCTAGTTTAATGAAGAGAAGGACGAGGGGGGACATGATAGCAGTGTTCCAATATCTCAGGGGCTGCCCCAAAGAAGAGGGAGTCAAGGTATTCTCCAAAGTGCCTGAAGGCAGGACAAGAAGCAACGGATGGAAACTAATCAAAGAGAGAAGCAACCTAGAACTAAGGAGAAACTTCCTGACAGAACAATTAATCAGTGGGATGACCTGCTTCCAGAAGTTGTGGATGCTCCAACACTGGAGGTTTTTAAGAAAAGATTGGACAACCATTTGTCTGAAATAGTATAGGATTTCCTGCTTGAGCAGGGGGTTGGACTAGAAGACTTTGAAGGTCCCTTCCAACTCTGTTATTCTTTTATTCTGTTTGTGCTATTTCTATTACAAAGAGATTTGGAAATCAGACTACACTATATGCATCTGCAATGAGGCTACTCTACTTGCATTTGTAAAATGAACATTTTACAATAAAAATAGATTATAGGATAACAGAGCAGTGCTAGTTTTCTTCTCCACTTGCTAACTTAAAAGTGAACACGGTATAACAGTCATGGGAATTATTACTATGGAAGCAGCCAGTTCCACGGAGGAAAAGGTTTTTCTTAACCAAATATGTTTTCTGAGGAAAAAACCTAGTTGTTGACCTTAGTAATATATAAATGCTTATAGAAGTAATGATTTGGTCTTTTTACGCCAGCATACCTTTTGCTAGAATATAATTATTTTTGAATTACATTCTTTTTATGGTAGCTATATTGACTACCAAAACAATGTAGTTGTTGTGAGTAGGTATCTTTTTTTCTTGTTTCTTCATTTGACTTCATTTAAATAACATTAAGACACCATTTAAAAATCCTACATACAGCTGGTTCCCCAGAGCCTAATGAATTTATGGAATTAATGAGCAAGAAATATAACTTAAGAAATTATGTAGGGAATGATATGATTCTGGGGCTTTAAGCTTAAATGCTACAGAATTGTTGGGTTCTGTCTTAATTTTGAATAGTAATTTCAAACAAGGAATACTAGATGAGAGCTTCAGTAGGAGAACACACTTATCTTCATTCCAAATAAAACTTTTTTTTGTGGAGAACTTGTGCTTCAAATTCTAGCCATTGCTACAATTCATTGCAAAATAACAAAACTTGTCAACAGAAAGCAATAAATGTTTAGAATAACTGGTACAGTACTTTCATACATGTGCACAATATATTTGCCATCTAAAATGTATTTTCAGAAACACATAATGTTCAAAATCAGTTAAATCGGAATGCTTGCTGTTAAACTGTGTTGGTTCATATCTGAACATTTTCCTACTTTGAAACCAGGAATTGAATGTGGTTTGTTGGTTTGTCTGTCTTCCTGATTAAAAGAAAAGTTTGGGTGGTGTTATTCCCTAATTAATATCAGCCCTAAATAAGTTTTAATTTTAACTGTGAGTTAGAAATAACAGACCTGAAGAATGCATGTCTGATAGTCATTTACTGGACAGTAACATTTCCTCTGATGGTCTCTTCATTTTATGTGAAAATTGGACTATATTGTTCTTTAGACAAATCATCTTCCTGATAAAAAAATTCTCATATTTGGATACGCTTACTCTTCAGTTAAGAAGAGTAAACTTTAAAAACTCTTCTTTATAGGCTAAATTTAAATAAGTGTTGTTTTGGCAAGCCTATATTTGTACCAATTAATACTTTAATTACCTTGATAACTTTTTTTGAGATCTCACATTTATTTTATACATAACACAATAGAGTGTAGACTTAAAATATGGATTATTTATCTTGCTTAGAAAAAGAGATTGTTATTATTATTTTCCTGTTTCCACAGATCAGTGAAGGTGCAGAGTGCATATTTATTCCCAAGCGACTATTTCTGGAAGAAGCAACTGCTAAATCCAGGCAGATGGCATTACAGATGTTCAGCAGTTACCCCACAGAGAGTATGATCCAGCAGAGTTACAATACACAGCAAACATGGAGCAGATACAAGAGCAAACTTATTAAACAGCACCTTAAATGGCATGCTGAGCGAGCAGGCATCAAAAGTAGTAATGGCTGGTAAATATATTTTATATGCATTGCAAGCCAAGCTTTTGTCCTGATAAGAAAATACTTATTTGTGAAAATATATAACTATTAAAAAAAAAACATTTCGGCTTCTTTTCTATATTGTAAAATGGATTTATATTCACTGGTGCTTTTATATCCATTTCTGAGACGTTGGTAAAAAATATCTTAAAAGAACATCAACACACAAATACCTAAGAGATGCACATTGGCATAAGATGTACAATTACCGTACTAATTTATTTTAGAAACAAGAGGTAGAAATATGTTGTGTGTGTGTTTGTGTGAATGATATATAAAGAGAAATCTCCTGGAGTCCATTGGGATTACAGCAAAGCATTGTAAAACAAACATCATACATACATACATGTAGTGGTGGGATCCAAATATGTGAATAACCGGTTTTCTGTGTGGATGCCGCTTCTGGAAATCCATTCTGAGCCTGGGCAATAAAAAATTAGCTACCGGTTCTGCCAAAGTGGTGCGAACTGGCTGAATCCCACCACTGTATACATACATACATACATACATACATACATACATACATACATACATACATACATACATACATACATACCAATATTTTGTGTACTTCAGGGCAGGATGAAATTTGGGATGGATTTTTTTGCTTATGCTGGTGATAAATGCATCGGGTGCATAGGGAGGGGGAAAAAAATTTCAATCCAAATGCAAAAATGGAGAATGGGATGAGATTTGGGATGGAATTGTACACCTAAATGCCAGGACCCCAGGAAAGGGGAGGCAGGGGGTGGCAGTGATCGTCCAGAATATTTGGGTGGCATGCAGGGGCTTTGGATCCAAGATTGTCAGATATGAGACGCTATTTCTTAAGCTGGGCACTAGGAGAGGTCAGTTAGGGCTGTTGCTATTGTACCAGCTTCCCTGCTACATAGCTTAATAATAATAATAATAATAATAATAATAATAATAATTATAATAATAATAATAATAATAATAATAATAATAATAATAATAATAATAATAAGAAGAAGAAGAAGAAGAAGAAGAAGAAGAAGAAGAAGAAGAAGAAGAAGTAATAGTAGTAGTAGTAGTAGTAGTTGTTGGAAGGGACCTTGGAGGCCATCTAGTCCAACCCCCTGCTCAGGCAGGAAACCCTATACCATTTCGGACAAATGGCTGTCCAGTTTCTTCTTAAAAACTTCCAGTGTTGGAGCATTCATCACTTCTGGAGGCAGGTTGTTCCACTGGTTAATTGTTCTCACTGTCAGGAAGTTTCTCCTTAGTTCTAGGTTGCTTCTCTCCTTGATTAGTTTCCACCCGTTGCTTCTTGTCCTGCCTACTTGACTCTGTGGTTGGGCTGGACTTACGGTGTTTGGGGAGTTCAACCTGCTGTCCCTACGTGTGAGATCACAGGCAGCTTAAGGAGTTTATGGCCACCACAGCAGCTATGGGCCTGGCCCAAGTCATAGTAGCAGTAATACACCCAATCTGTTTTTTTCTGTCAGAGCAAATGGCAGACTGTTCTGGAATTGGGGGAGATTTTGATTTCTCCCCTGCCACGGACAGACCATTCACTACCGTGTTTCCCTGAAAATAAGACCCAGTCTTATTTATAATTTTTTGCCTCCAAAAGAGGCACCAGGTCCTATTTTTGGGGGGGGGTCTTTTCCACTCACCCCCAGCACTGACAGCCCCACCCAGCTGGCCCGCTTCTTCTGGGGCCGAAGGAGCAGCTTCATTCTGCAGCTGAGAATGGAGTTTCCGGCCTGCATTTCGCAGTCAGAGGCCTTCCAGAAATGCAGGCCGAGCTCCATTCTCAGCTGCAAAATGAAGCTGCTCCTTCCGGTGAGGAAAGTGTCGATCCATGGGAGGCCTGGCTACAATGGTTAAGCTCCACCCCTGCCCTGGCTTGATTTTTAGGCGTGCGCCTCACCCCAAAACTAGGGCTTATTTTTCGGGTAGGGTTTATATTAGGCCTACCCCAATGATGGCAAACCTTTTAGAGACCGAGTGCCAAACCATAACCCAAAACCCACTTATTTATCACAAAGTGCCAGGGCCGCATCAGCATTGTGGTGCCCTCGGGAGGGGTGTGTGTGGGGGAGTGGCCCACTGGGTGAGCATGGCTGCAGTTGTCATGGCAGACTGGCCGTGGCTGGGGTGGACATGGCCACCTCGATGTTGCTCATGGGGGGGATGCCTGTGGGGGCAGGGTTGGGGGAGATCCAGGGGGTCTCTGGCAGGTGGGACAGTGGGCAGGAGGCCCAGCATAGATGGGGGGGAGGCACGCAATCCTAGTTGGGACTGGGGGGCCATGGCGCTGAGGGGGATCCGGCTTTCCCTGCTCGGGTTGGCCTTTGGCTTGCTGGGTGTGGGCGTGCTCTACCACCTCTACTCGAGCTTGCTAGCTGGTCGCTTCACTTCCTTGTGCTGGGTGGGGCTGCCACTCCGGGTGGCGGCAGCGGCCTAATGGACCTGCGCAAGCTGCTGGCAGTGGCAGCGCGAATGCCCACAGAGAGGGCTCTGAGTGCTGCCTCTGGCATGCGTGCCATAGGTTCGCCACCACTGGCCTACCCCCCAAAATCAAGCTAGGTTAGGTCTTACTTTTGGGGAAACATGGTATCCCAGTCTCAGGGAGTTTGTTGGGGACTGGATGAGGCAAAACGGACTCCAACTCAAACTTCGCAAGGCAGAGTAGCTATGGGTATATGGACCCCCCAGAGACAAGGATTTTCCATCTTGGTTCTACGTGTGGTGGCACTGCCCCAAACAGCCCCGGTGCATAATTTGGTGGTCCTCCTGGACTCACAACTCCTGCTCAAAGAGCAGGTGGCAATCACAGCTATGAGAGTCTTTGCACATCTTCGTTTTCTAAGCCAGGGATTGTGGGTTCGAGTCCCATCTGGGGTGCCAAAATTCTTGTGGAAAACGAAAGAACTCTTACGAATTCCAGAGGGGTTTAGCAGAGAGGTTTATTTGCGCAGGTTCAGAAGCATAATGGAGATAGGCAATTCTGAACAAGGAGGGCGGGATTAGACTTCAGTTTTATACTATCCTTCTTTCAGGAACAAAGGGATTACACATGGTAATACACTGTAATACATTAGGATCGTTTCTCACGGGCATACAATGGTAGGTTTTGCTACATACAAAATATCCATGTGCAATGCGCATTTGGTTAGTCACATATTACTGACACAGAACTTTCCCAGTGAATTTTCCCAGTGATTATGCATTACATCATTATTCTAGCAATTATGCAGACAAATCATTATTCTAGTTATTGTTCATTTTACTACATTAGTTTGGTAAGACTATTGCTTACATTATAATATATGTCATGGCTTTCTTTCTCTTTTCCTTTGAAATGAAAATTCATTTCATTTAGAAATTCCACTGATTAATTAAATGGCAAGTAATGCACGTTTGGATGATTATTTCTCTTTCAAAATTATGCAAATATAAGTTATGCTCTGGTTTTATTTTATTTTATTTGTTAAATTTATTCTTTATTATTTTTGTTGTTGTTGTTATTATTATTATTATTATTATTATTATTATTATTATTATTATTATTATTATTATTACAGAACTCTCCACCACAGCCCACAATTTGTTCTCTATTGATTATAATTCTGTTATAATCCATACTAAATTGTAAATCTGTTTCCATAATTGATGATACTTCCAGGACACAATAACCGCTGACTAATTATTTCCATCTGGAAAGTTACTATTCATAATTTCCATTCTTTTTTTTCCTTCTTCCAAAATAGTAATTTAATAAAAAGTCAAACATAAATATAGTTATTGGCAAAGTACCTTTTTTATAATCCCAGTTGAATGCATTTTTATTCAGCCAGTAAATAAATTGCTATTTATTATAAACTTGATGTCTTCTGAATTAATTAAACACATTCCATAATATTGAGGAAAAAAAAGATTTTTCCAACTGGGGAATGTGTTGTTGTTGTTGTTGTTAGTTGCGAAGTTGTGTCCGACCCATCGCAGCCCCATGGACAACGTTCCTCCAGGCCTTCCTGTCCTCTACCATCTTCTGGAGTCCTTTTAAGCTCACGCCTACTGCTTCAGTGACTCCATCCAGCCACTTCATTCTCTGTCTTCCCCTTCTATTGCCCTCAATCTTTCCCAGCATTAGGCTCTTCTCCAGGGAGTCCTTCCTTCTCATTAGGTGGCCAAAGTATTTGAGTTTCAACTTCAGGATCTGGCCTTCTAAAGAGCAGTCGGGGTTGATCTCTTCTAGGACTGATGGGTTTGAACACCTTGCAATACAAGGGACTCGCAGGAGTCTTCTCCAGCACCATAGTTCAAAGGCCTCAATTCTTTGTCGCTCAGCCTTTCTTATGGTCCAACTTTCACATCCATACATTGCAACTGGGAAAACCATGGCCTTGACTATACGCACTTTTGTGATGACAAGACTGAACATTGACATCTTATGAATCAGCGAACTAAAATGGACAGGAATGGGTGAATTTAACTCATATGACCATCAGGTATACTACTGCGGGCAGGAATCCCTCAGAAGAAATGGAGTAGCCTTCATAGTCAATAAAAGAGTAGGAAAAGCAATACTGGGATACAATCCCCAAAATGACAGAATGATCTCAGTTCGAATCCAAGGCAAACCATTCAGTATCACAGTAGTCCAAATCTATGCCCCAACCACTGGTGCTGAAGAGGATGAAATTGACCGGTTCTATGAAGCCCTACAGCACCTTATAGAATTAACACCAAAAAATGATGTCCTTATCATCATGGGGGATTGGAATGCTAAAGTAGGAAGCCAAAAGATAAATGGAATAACACACAAGTTGGGCCTTGGAGTACAAAATGAAGCAGTGCACAGGCTGATAGAATTTTGTCAAGAGAATACGATGGGGAATGTGTTACAAACAGCAAGTATATATTTAGTAAATTAAAAAGTTTATCCCATGTATAGTTTGAAAATTAGGAAAACGGGGATATTTTTCTCAAATAATAGAATGCTACTGAATGTTTATATTTTACTGAGGATATCGTCAACTGGAAGCAAATAGGATAGAGTCTGGTAGGCCTGAAAAAGAAATGGCGCTCTTGTATCACATCTGGAGCATTTATCTTACATTCTCATTTATTTATTTATTTATTTATTTATTTATTATTTGAATTTATATCCCGCCCTTCTCCTTGCGGACTCAGGGTGGCTGACAATCAATTAAAAACACCACTAACAATCACAAGTTAAAATTAATTAAAATGAAATATTTAAATTGTCTAATTAAAAAGTAATTAAAAACCCTCTAAAAAACCCTCTTAAAAATTATCCTAGGCCAGTCCCGCTTGTTGGAACAGCCATGTCTTGAGGGCGCGGCGGAAGG